GTTGTATCCTGAACACATTTTTTTAAACCCAATATTTCTTACTTATTCTAAGGGCGCTTCTCCAATATTATGGACACCTTTGTGATCGTCAAACGATTTATATAAAATATTCTTAATACTACTTATTAACAAATACGTCGATTTTGCAAACAACTTGTTACAACGAGTTTAAAGTAAGTTAAACATCGTTATTTACCCATTACTCATAAGTTAGTGTTCCTTGACCTACATCAATCACTTTATTTATGTTTTATACTTTGGTACAAAGGAATTATTTAGAAGCAATAAATAACATATCAAGAATTATGTATTTATCATTTGATCATATTTATCGTTACGTACCCAAAATCCCGTAATCATATAGTATGGCAGATGTAAATTCCTGCGTGTGGGCTTCATTGAAAGAAAGCAGGTACCTGCTATAAAATATTCCAACGGGACTCGAACCCAGGTCAGACGGGTTGAACGAGAATTACGTTCGCAGGTTGATGTACAAAGGTCGTACATATACGGTAATAAACCTATGTTTTTCATATTAAGACACTATTTTATTGATAACGTAAAAAAACTGTTTGGTCTAAGTACTAGTAAAAGATACGGAGTATGACGAAAGAACTATTAAAAATCGCACGGGTCAGCCTTTGAGGTCGCTGGTGCAAATATTTGTTTAAACATCGACGAACCGGTTTTCTTACCAAACCACCAAGAAAAAATGAATTTTGCGAAAGCTCTCGAAGTATACGTCGAATATATATACTTAATTATCAAAACAAAAAACTTACTTAAAAGAACTCAGAATTGTATTTGACCGACACTATTGGTTACGGGCAGACATTCAAATATGTAAAGAGCTTAAACTTTAAAAACAAACATCAAAAACGTGAGAAATATAACTTAATATTTATAAACATTCGTAAAACAAGTTGCCATTATCTAGTGGCACTAATGACATTGCCTGAATGGGTCGTAACTGACATAACAATACAACTAACGATAAAACCAAGTTAGTATAAGTAGTTTTCCATGTTCTAAGCACCCGTCTCGACTGTGGCTAAACTAACATCTTTCTCAACTACAAATTCTTTTTGTCCTTCACATCTACTCAATCGCGATGTTCGAACAATTGAAACAACGTTTCTCATCGGCAGAACAAGCTATTGTCAGACAGTTTTAATAAAAATGTCGTCCCTGTAACGGCGAACCTCATCAAAATCGCATCAAAATACCCCACCCTCGCGAGTCGCACTGCGTTAAAGAATTTTTACACCCGTTTGAATGTAAATTCTAGTACATTTTCGTCGTAAAGAGATGGGATAGTTCGTTCTACACTTCATTTTCCTCTAGGGGAATACATTTCACTATTTCTCAAGCAATAAAACGACAAGATTCCGTCTGCTTAAGCAGGTATTATGCAGGGAATTTTCATACAATTTCCACATGTAGGTGGGGATTATGTGACGGTGAAAAGGTCTAGTTAAATTAAAACGCTTTATAAATTCTAACAATATCGCGGAATTTTGCGACGTGTAGAATGCCCGAGACGTGATACTAATTTACAGAAAGTATTTGAATTATGAAGGGGAATTATATTTGCTATGTTTTATTAGGATAAATATGTAAATGAAGAATGTTGTCTTTAAATTATGTTCACAACATCTAAACTGGGATAAAACAAGCTTTTTAACATTTCTTTTTATTTTCTATTAAAAAAAGTAGGCAGTTCAGAAGCTCAGACTAAATCAGATAAATAGATTTAATAATATTAGTTCGGGTTAAAGATTCACATACTATGTACCTTTAAAAAATCAAACCCCGTTTTGTACTACATTTTGTATCACCCTACTCTGTGAGCATATTTCAGTCAAATAAGATTAGTCCTTTATGATACACTGTAACCGCTAATTAAGTTATTATAACTGAATGGCTAAATTCAAAACCTTAAGTTCACACATCGACATTTACGAAGCCACACTGTCAGAGTAATAAATGCTTCAGATTTACATAAACCACAATCCTTTGACAGTCGAATACTGATGAGTTGCGGACAAGTTACACGCAAGAGTGATGGCGATGATTGTAGAAATCGTCATTTCTCCAGACTTTGCACAATATTCTATTTGAATAATAAGATGTAAAAGTAAGGGGTTACTTGTGTATAACGAAGTCATGTGTAAAAAGTTTCGACTAGAAATCGAAACAATAATTTTTGACATATAAAGTCAGATATGCTAGAAAATTTAATTTTACTAACACTGAATGCATTGCCAAAGAGAACGTTGAGCTCAGACAACAGCAAACATGAAACGGAACGTAACGTCAGGATATAAATGTATCGAGCACCGCAAATATCAACCACTCGCAGACTTATTGTTTGAAATAGCTGGTGAAAAATTGCTTCTCGCGTGTCCCCGAATATAGCAACGTCTGCAGCTTGCTTACCGTTTTATTTATTTGCGACTTCTTAGCCGGTTGCCTTGCCTTTTTCAATTCTCATCTGTTGAATAAATAGCATTTATAATAATGAAACTCCTCCATGTACAAGCGTCTGAACTCTAGTATTTCGCCAATATCGCATTCGATATCTTGTTGTGGCTAATTGGATTTGTGGCTAGGTTTCTCATTTTACATGGCCTTTTCCTACGAGGGTTCTTTGTATTTAATTTTTATTTGTGCGGTACTTACCCGTGCCGACGACTACGGAATATAATAGGAAACTTTCATTTGCCTAATTAAAAATAAGCCAAGCAGGGGAACAATCTGGATTTATTAAAGTTGTTCAACATTAACGTCGGCGACGTTTTATATTAAAAGCTCATTTAAAACAGTCTCAGTAAAGATAGCAAAGACAATGGAAAACGAAGGCTGTTTGTGTGGTGACTGGTGAGTAACTCCCAGCTGTTTATTTTGAGGAAACAAAAGCCTTGTGCACATAATATTAAACATTTACATATATACTTGTATAGGTTTGCTAAAGATGAGTCTCGCTTAAACTTTGCTGAAAATTATTTATCTTTTCTAATAGAATTTCGATTCGGCAACTTCAAACCGGGTTCGTTTCGCGTAACACTATTTACGTTACTTCTCATAGAAGTTCTTCACGCGTCTATTTGAACATTAAATTACAAATTAATTCGAGACTTACAATTTTAAATCTTCAAAAACGTTATCCCCAAGCAATCTGACTTACAGAGCATAAATATTGCCACATCGTAACCATTTCACAGGCTGCCAAGTTTCTCCTCTATGTAAATTTAAGTAGGCGTAATTAGAGGAAGTAACTATCGTCTACTCTCGGTAAATGGCAGTCGGCTCCTGTTAACTGACTGTGGACGGAACTAAATGATCCCCTCCTCTATTTCTACAGTAGCAGTTACATCAGACATAAGAACATAAATACGAGAAGTCATCAAGACCATTTTATGTTTCAGTTTTACTAGCAATGTTCTGTAGCGTGGTAAATGCGACGATTGCAAGATAAATCGTGATCGGATTAAGTAAATAAAGTCCTCTTTAAAGTGCTCATCAATCTTGCAATTCTGTTGTGTACACATTTATGTGTGTAAGTTGGAAGAGCTCTTAGGTCGTTGCCCGCGCCCTTTAACCTTAACTTTCTTCATCTTAACAATTTAATTGTCACTCATTAGTCTTGAGACAACTTTGTTCGCACTTTATAAATGTATTATAACACTTACAATGCCGTATGTGTTACGTATACAATTTGTTTTAGCATCAATCATGGTTGTGCCGTTCTAGACGAATCAATCATGTCCCTTACAGGCGGTTCCATGAAATCGTTATTTGTCATCACTTGTATTGTCGACAGACTTTTAGCTCTTACTGTTTACATATCCATGATAGTGTATTATTGACATGAATGTCAATCGAAATAGCAAGCTCACATTAAACTTGGGAAGTTATCAGCGCGCCGTGGCCGGATGGCTGCCCCCGCTTCGTCTCTTGGCAAACTGCACTGTTCCATACGGCAAATCATATTGAGTTTGTTTGCGTAGGTCATTGCACTTGCTGGGTCGTTTTATGTGTTCCTGGTGTCACGAGGTATCTATTAATAGTGTTATAGGAATGTTAACATCGAGCACAGTGGAATGTGCAACTTGTATATTATGCATCCTGCATTACATGTCTAGACAACATGTTACCGATCAAACTCTGCGTGTAACGGCGAAAATCATCGTCGACCAACAATAGACACGCGATGTAACCAATATTGCGTAAATGAAAATCTTTCAGGGGTGCACAGTAATATGTTTAATTTAGTTTCGAGTGCAGTAACTTGTTAAAGTTTCATTATTATTCGCGCTCACAAATTGTTCGTACGTGAACAAATTGAACTTCACAATCGAACTCTGTGGCGCTCGTGAGCCTTTGTTTGAGTTCGACTCCGAATTCAGCGTAATTGCCTTTCAGCCTTTCATTATTCAACTTTATGCAGTCATTTACTTGGGTTATTACGAAGGGAGAGTTGTGTGGTAAGTGTCGTGGGTGTATGCATTAATCGTAATATGTAAATGTGGGTATATGAAATATTGAAACAGCGCGCGAGCTTAGCGCGAAGAGCATGTCACCGCCATTACATTGTTTTCTATTGCGATACCATTTTATGGTTGGTAACCGCACATTTCTTCCTCTTTCCTTAAACATATAGATTTAAATTATCTTTGGTTTCTCGTTTAAAGCAAATCACGGAACAAACAGCAATTTATTTAATAATACACGTTTTGCAAAATGGATAACAAGTCAGTTATCTATAATTATATAAAGGCATTTATTTTTATCTGCTTAGAACTGTAATATAACATTTACATGTCATTTAGTAATTTACTAGAAAATAATGATTGCATGCCAAGTGCACCCCATCTGGGGTTTCGGCTTACCGTCATCAAGAAATAAATAAATAATGCATCGTAAATACAATTATAGAAAATATAAATTTACTGTTTAATCAATATTGAAATTGTACACATAAATGAAATATTAATGAAATGTATGACTTGTTACAGATTGAAGACGAAGGTAACCATGGCAACGATGACACAAGGCTTTTCATCTTGTCCACGCTAGCTGGGCAGCACAAACCTAAGGTGTCATGTGCCCTCTGCAAAGAAACCCTGCACGTGTTTGACCGGTACCCCTTGGTCGATGGAACTTTCTTCCTTAGTCCACGACAGCATACCAGCAGCGCTGTAGAGGTAAGCATTTATACATAAAGAAAAAGAAATAAAACATTATCAATATCTATCAATTATTATATTTATTACGACTAAATTATTTAGTAGAAATAATAATACACAAATATAGTAGGAAATGGTTTATTATCCTTTCATATTTATATACAATGACGAAGATTATAAGACTTCAACTATGATTAAGTAAGCTACACAAACACCATACACAACATACAAACATTATCTTTTGAACACAATCTTAACAAAAATAATTGAATAATTTTAAATCAAATTAAGATCTAATAAAACCATCTGGATTCTATAAACTTGATTATCACACACGTACATCAATAAACCATTTTAATTAAGGGGCGGAAGAACGCGTATAAAATTGTCGTAGATTGGAGAAAAGTAAACTCACAAAGTTAAATAAGATGTGGCAAAGTTTGTTCAAGTCTACAAAATAGCGTCCCCAGTCGCAATTCATACAAACTTCTCGACTCGGCGTTGTTTATTCAGCGAATTACAAGAACGTGTGCTCTTGGATACTTATACGTTTGTTTGACGTAGGCATTAGTAAACGTTCTCGGACTTACCCTCGCACAGGTGACGGATTATCCCTTTACATATGGGAGATTAGAGGAAAAATCACTAAATTTGTAACAGCAATACTTAAATGTATAGATAGATTTAAAATTACAATAATTAATGCCCGATTTGTTTATTTATGGAACTTTTGTGGAGTAAAATAACTTCTTATTATGAGGATTTTTTTAACTCTATAAATGGCACTATACAGCTAAGTAACCAAAATACATAATATGATCTTTTGTAAAATTTACATACAATTTATTACAAAGTTTTGGGATACGAAAGTAGCACAGAGAATGAAAATTATATTAATGTGCTTTTATAATAATAGATCAGGATTCATATTTGAATAACGAAATCTTCTTAATTTAGATAGCTACTTTATACCAGTTATTAAATATCAGTTTTCGTTCTCAGGTGAAAGTGGAAGGTCGAACGCAGTACCTGACCTGCGTCTGCATGGGCTGTCTGGAGAGATGTGACCCCGAGCGCACTATTCGCTGCCGTTTTTGTGGACAAAAGTGGGACGGCTCCTCACTGGTACTCGGCACCATGTACTCATATGACATATTCATGGCCACGCCGTGCTGCGCTGAACGATTGAAGGTAATGGTCATTTGAAGTATTTTTTTAAATTATATAGGTCTATTCTTAATAACCATTGCGAATCCAGGTGAATAATTTTGTGAATTACAACATTACCTATAGCTTAAAACGGAAGTTGTTTAAATTATATGCTATTTTATTTGAAGATATTTTGTTTTTTTACACAATATATTAATATTGTTTTGTTCAACAGTGCAACAACTGCTACAAGCCACTTCTGCACCCGAACCAGCGCCTGAACTACTCCGACTACTCTCACCCGGTGACGTGCCCGCACTGCCGCGTGCTCGACACGCACTTTGTCAAGCCGCTGACCTACTGCTTCACAAAACGGGTTTTCCCGCTATTCCAGCAGTGGCCATAACAAACGGCGGTGCCGGGGCCCAGCCCCGGCACCCCCCCGGACACTTGGGGCCTCGCGCCGTCGCCCCCGCGACGCGCTTCGCCCCCGGCCCTGCGCCCCGTCATTAACACTAGCATGGCGTCCCGAACTACCGACACAGAAGAGACCAAGTTCCCACCTCCAACCATCTCCAGCATTACCGAATCACTTTCCTTTCTCGGCCTCAGCCCGGAGACGCTGGCGATGAGTCTTGGTGAATCCCTCGCTGAACGATACCTCGCTACTCTGAGACCGAAGCCCATAGAACGGCCGGCACTCAGCTGTGTACCGCGGCGTCTTCCGACCAACGAAGCTTCGAACATGCAGCTGTTCTCCAATGACTTCATTAACTATCTCAACCAAATCGCTTAAACGTGTGACGTGTGACGAATTATGAACATTACCCTCATACGAGGCTAGGAATAATTTTTGTTAAATTAAGTTGGTATTATTGAAAGTAATTTTATGTATCGGTTTAGATCATACTATTGATTTTATTTTAATTTTATTCTGAACTTTGTTGATTAAAATAGATAGATGTTGAGTTTTGTCGAAAGTATTTAGCAGTAGAGTGACACCAGAAATTGCATTTTTGTTTTCGGTTTATCCTCAAATATTTTCCTTCTGAAGGGCAGATTTTTTTAAATTATTAATTCTTCGATTTCAGTGATACTGATACGGTAGCCCTATCTAATAGGGCAGTCTGTGTGGTGTGTTATTTAGTTCAATTTAGTTTATTAGTTATGTTTTATTTTAGCAAAATTTTTAACTTTAACTTAAGTGTTATACCATATTTTCGTAGGTTTATTGCAGTTCTTTTTTTCTCCCACCACAACGGCCATTTCACCCGAGGGAGGTCTCGTAAACGCCGTCTTAGGTTATTTTCTTAATAACATTCATTCACCTGTCACTTAATTATCGGTAGGGGTTTAATCGTAAGTGATTGCTGTGTCACCAATAATATGATTAGCTTGTCTGTGTACGAGTATTTATAAGGTTTACTGTATTCGAGTTGTTTTTGTTTGAAACTTCAGTAATTAGCGGATGATAAAAATATAAAGTATTTATTTGGAATCGTGCCATATCAAATAAAAACGAGTTTCGATGTTCGCATCAATTTATTGGATAGGACCGCTGCTCACTGAAGTTTACAAGTCTTTTTGTTATCTTTAAATAGGTTAAGGATTTTCTAATAATTATCATGAATGTCTATTTATTTAAGGGTAGCGCTTCAACGTATAAGCGTTTAAGTGATGCACATTTACTCATTTAAAATTAAAAAATTAGATAAGTTTTTGATACATTTGATACTTACTCGCAAAGTGATTAAAAGTGATAAATTTTATAGTTGTAGAAGCGTGTTCTTGTTTATTGAATTAAAGTGGTGCGGATAGGTAGGCGTTTAAACTGTTAATATAGAAATGTCGGTGGACTCCGTTCGCTCTGTAGGCAATAATTCTATAAAGACTTAACATTTTTATAGGTAATTTTTGCATTTTTCTAAAGTGAACTGCCATTTAGAATCTTCTGGTCTATGCACATGTGTTTGTACTAAAAATTCAAAGGCAATAGATGTATTTTTGAGAAATAAATTTAGTGACGACTGGATTTTATATTTTCGCATTTTTATACTCAAATATAATTTTAATAATCGCATGTGCATTGTCCCTTTTTAGTATATATAAAGTAAAATTGAACTATGTTTAACTAAGACGTTACTGTGTAATTCGATGAATAATTTTCAGTACTCAGGAAATGTAGCGTTGAACACCTGACGCAAAGTCATGAATTGCGTGTACTGAATATTCATCGACCTATACTTGTTCGAGTTTTCATCATCGACATTCATCACCACTATCATCCGCATCACTGCACTTTCATTCATCATCCTTGTCATCTGGCACGGTTTGATTGGACTACGGAATAGCTTTTTAATTCATTAATATAAGGAATATTTATTTTGATTAAACATCGTAGAGAAGAAGTTCTTCTTCGTTAATATTAATGAATCATAATAGCCATTCCGTTGAGTGTGTTTGTATCTTCAAAGTTTTTTTGTTTCTACCCGCTTTAAAATTAAAAAATATATCTTAAAATAGTACGGAACATATGTAAATAATGCCGTAAACATGCAGATGCTTAAAAAGTGTTTATTGAGATATATTATTGCGTATTTCTAGATTAGCCATAATCGATAGTACATAATACAACAATATCAAAAAAATCCCTAATAATTTTAAACGACGCGCTATTGTAATGCCACGCCATATGTTAAACAATTTTAAGTTTATCAAAGTTTGCTCGTATATAGAAATATATTTAAAAGTTTATACATTTATATAAATGTATATGTAATCGATAAAATATTTGAGAAAAAGTAAAAAAAAATTAAACGAGCTGTTGTTGGTATATTTAGGAAAAATATTAAAAATGAACCAGATCATCTGATGGTGGCCATGTACAAATGATAGTGGAATGGCATTACAGTGCGCGGATATCTAGAGAAAATGACACAAATTATAGAATCATATTGTTTAATAGTCAAATACAGAGCCATCTATCTATCTTAGATTATATAGAACATTTAACGATGACTTGTGTCACACCCTTTCCGGTACAAATTCAAATGTTTTAACATAGATTATCCATTTTATATTGAAAGTCCCCGAAGAAAATTTTTATTTAAACATACGTTTGACAAGATACCTCTTTAGATTTACTAGAAAATTTTATAAACACCATTGACCATTATAAAGGTATCCTCACCAATACCTCTTTTAGGCGTTAACGTATGAATCAAAGTTAATAAATTATATTTATTTTATTCCCTTGTTAAACTTATCAGTTCTCAAAATTTTGTTCCTACATAGTACTTATCGGTGTAGTTTTCTTCTACCTTTGAGGTTATTCTATAATATATTAATACTTGCAAGGTTGTATGGAGGCTCACTAAATAATAACTTTTCCTCAGTCTAAAACTAATCGTATGTGTTTGATTATTCATATTTTAGTAAGTTATTGGTTCAGGTTAATACACGAATGTTGCCAATTTCTTAGTTTATTTGCACATATTTGTTAAATTTTTGTAATTAATAACAATTTATTTAGACATCCACATTCGAATTTCTTCATGTTAAATTTAATGTGGTGTAATTTAGTGAATTGCTTAAAAGTACAAAGAAACAATTTGTTACTTTTGCAAATTTTATAAATTAAATCAAATGCATATTAAATGGATAGATCTAGATAATCTTTACGAAATAGTTGCTGTAAATCTTAAATAATAATATACACGCAATTGTTTCCCCTTACAATACGTGATTCGTTATAATACTTCATTTACATTGTTTTTCGTTGGTCAAATTAGAGACAAAAAATTGTTACTTATTGTAAAACTATATCCTAATAATTTTTGTATATTAATTTGAATTTTATATTTACCGAAAACCTATTAAATAGCATAGTAGCACGCAGTTAGGATCATCTGCATTATATCTAGTAGTGTCTCGTGTCAGCTTTCTAACATAAGTTCTAACCTAATTTTGGTAGTCTCTTAAATTTATCTACATTCAATTAATTGGTGTGAATGGATCGAGTGTTTGTGGTCATATTTATTCTTAAGTCATCGTCATGTTTTTCATATTATATGATAATCTCGTGCCAAGCGAGTTTTGTTATTACAATGTGTACATTCTGGTCATAGGCGCTGCGACGACGCATCGCATTTAGGTTAATTCTGAAATACCTAAATGAAAGTGGTCATTCTACGTTGTCCCATTTCTAGAATGGGTTTTCGCGCTTTACCCCATACATGCTTGGAGCTCGTATCCGTACATTAAAAACTAAAGTTCCGATGATTAAGGTTTGTCCCAAATTGTGATAGTCAAGAAGACTTGGTCCCGGATAACGTTTGCTAGGTATAAGATTTGTGATAAGGAAATTGAGGAACCAGTGGTGAAATTAACTTGTAACGTTTGCACGAATGCCTTTAGAATGCATCATAACCCCGAAGAGCGATAACAGCGAACAGATAAAATTAATAAATAGGATACAGAAATCCAAATAAAATTTCGTATAATATTCTGCGTCCAGTAAGCTCAAAATTACCCTGAACGCATTGGCTGATTCTAGTATACGGCTGTTATTGGTTAGTGAAAGCAAATCAACGTGTTAATTATATTTTGATACTCGATTTTCTACACTTGTAGTAAGTAACATATTAACATTTGTATTAACTTTTTTTAGGTAGGGCTTAACGTCGCGTTCCATTGCATTTATCGTTAAAATCATCCATGTCCCACGTGGTACTAAGGTATTTTGTGATCGAATTAAAGAATTTAAATTATTGTCGAGATCGGTATGATCTTGTAAGTGTTTGTCGGATACCCCTAAATGGTCGGAGCCAGTTTATGGAGCATGTAAATGAGGATTGCTAAATTCGTCTGCGATTTCGGAACGGCTTTGAGAATGTTGCACGAACAATTGAATTGGTGATAATCTTACGAATTGGTTAATGATAATAATTAAGTTTTTGCGTGGCAATAAGACTACGGACTTATTTATGGAGACGTGTATGAAACATCATTCTAACAAGTCGAATATCTGAACGCAAAGTTACACAATCGTCTTCGTAAATACAGTCACTTGACTAGGTACGTAATGCGCGGGGTGCATCAGGGTATGAGTGTCATAATTCGTAATAACATAACTTTTGTACTTTCGTATTAATAACGAGTAATTTAGAGATAACTTTTTTTCTTATAATATGTATAAATCGTAAATTAAACATCAAGTAATGTACGTTTTTTACTGAAATCGTAGTTGTAGTATTTTTGTAAGGAGAATCCGAGACTATGGGCTCGTTACGTGTATCACAGCGATAATAGGTATTAAGACCGCTCAGTGTGGAACTTTGAGAAGTAATCTTGACTGGAACTTCAGGACGAAAGAAAAGATTCCTTCTTGATACAATACGCGCACTGAGTAAGGTCATGTAATTCGTAGGTAATTAAGTCTTCACCTAACGTGCGTTTCTAGCGATCAGATACGCTTTGTGTCTTTATTCATGTTTTACAGTTTATTTTCACACTTAATGGGGATCAATCTATAAATATCTCTCGGTGTGAAGTTTCAATGAGCGCTTTCTGTTGGTGCATATTTAAGTTCTTAAAAATATTCTTTGATATATTAATGTATGTTTGGATGAGTGGATATCTGTCGTGTTATCATTTCATGTGCAGTTTATTTTCACGTCAGAGACAACTTATAACAACTGTGTGACTTGGTTATGGCGCATTAAAAAAAGTATATTCCATACTCTAACGTTGAAAGGTACCGTCAAGCGGTTTTTATAACTTATCTCAATGTGGTCG